TAATCTAGAGATGGTTTAAAGAATATGGGAGGATGTATGTAAATCATATGCAAATACTTATGACTTTATATAAGGATTTGAGCATCTGTGAATTTCAGTATCCATGGGGGTCCTGGAACCAATCCCCAGCAGAAAACTGCAGAGGGGGAGAGGGCGTGTGCCAGAAAGTAAAGGGGGCCCATGACATGCTGCGGGGAAAGTAACCTAGAGGGAAAATCCTGACTTTAATTTAAAAAAATGGGGAAGAAATTTATGCTTAGTCTTTGGGAGCAGCTTTAGGAAAAAAAATGTGTAACACCTCTCCATGTAGTAGGAAGGACAAAAGTAATTTTATCAAACATAAATTTCATGATCTCATTTAATTCTCACAAATCTCTCAGAATGGTACAGCAGTAGCTAATTTAGTGCCAGGAACAGAAGTAGAACTTGACTGAACTGCCTGGTACTTCTGTTTCATCAGTCAAATATAAGAGGAAGTCACATAGTGAGGCAGGATCTTCATCTTGTCATTTCCTTGACTTCTTTTTCTTCTTCCTTTGGCCTTTCTACACAAGTTCCTCAATGTGTCCAGCCCTTTTCCCACCCTCAAATATTATATTCAAATTATGAGAGTTGTTCAAATTCCTCATTTAATAAGCAAGGAAATTAGGGCCCACAAAAAACCACTTGCCCAGAGAACCAGAACTGGAGACTCTAGATTCTCACTAATTATTAATTCTTATTAGGAATCAGTAATACTCACGTGATTGTTGTTCCCCGTCCTAGAGTATTTCCTCGTGGGTCAGCAATTACAGAAAATTCATTGGAGTCAGACTCCCAGATGTGCTGGGTATCATTGTTATGTTTTGATGTGACAATAACCTTATCTGCTACAAGGAAGGCAGAATAGAAACCAACACCAAACTGGCCAATCAATTCAGAAGTTGACTGGCTATCTTCTTGTGCTTCAGTCATTTTGTTTAAAAATTCACTTGTCCCAGATTTGGCTATGGTACCAAGGTTTTTAACCAACTCTTCTCTGGTCATTCCTACACCAGTGTCTGTGACATGTAGTAGGTTTTTCTCCTTGTCACACTAAAAGCAAGACAAGAACCAGATAGTTACCCTCAAAGGAAAAAAATTTATAGAAAAATAAATTTTATGTTTTGCCTATTTCTTTGATAGGAAACAAAACATTGACTCTATACTTGAATGATTCCTATAATAGGAATCTGTGGTGATCATTCATGTTCTTCAATAAACACCCCTGGCTCTGTCTCCACAAAAGTGGTAGGATTTTATTTCCTTCCATTTTTGAGTGAGGCCATGTGATTAGTTCTGGCTAGTGAGTTGCAAGTGGGAGCCTAGTGGTAGCTTTCAGGTTGAGCCTTTAATTGGTCTGCGACCCTCTGAGCTCTGTGTGTCATGGCAACCAGCTACACTCCAGATGGCTGCTCAATCAGCCCAAGTCCTGGTGGGAGGATGAGGTAGAGTAAAAGCCTATGTAGCCTATGGAATGATTTAAGCCAGAAGTCAGCATATTTTTCAGTTAAAGGACCAGACATAAATATTTTTTAGGCTTTGTAAGTCACAGGTCCCTGTCACAATGATTACTGCCAGTGTAGATGAAAGCAGTCATTGATACAAATGGATACAGCTGTGTTCTCATAAAACTTTCTTATAAAAATAGGCAAACAGATTTGGCCCACATCCTAGTTTGCTGACTCCTGAGTTAAACAACTGAAACTACGGGGTTACTTGTCACTGTAGACTAAGGTTGCCTTTCTTGACCAATAGGGCTTTCCTTTCTCTAAGGATTCAAGAGAAAAAGATTATCTATGCTTACCTTAATTTTGACAGTTAATTCCTCATTTCCAGAAAGCGCATTTTCATCAGTTAGTGATATTAGCCTTATCTTATCTAAAGCATCAGAAGCATTGGAAATCAGTTCTCTCAGGAAAATCTAAAGTCAGATTTAATACACTTAGATTAGCTTCAAGATACAACAAGAAGTTGAATTTCACGTGAAACATACTTTATTTCTCCTTTGTATCCTTGAAAAAGCACTCTAAACTTTTTAATGATATAGGGATGGTTTTATTCATTGGTAAAAGGATTGTAGCAACTATAACATACCCGAACTGGTTAAGAGTAGTAACTTTATTCTCCTACCAGTGATTTTCAGGTATGCAACACACAAAAGCTTATATTTGTGTGAATGCCCTTAAAAAATCAAGTATTTAGCAGACCATGAACATATCAGAAGGGAAAAGGAAAAATATCCAATGCTCCCTATCCCCTGCATATATTGGTAGCAATTCTTGTACATATTGGGTCAACTTGGTCAACTACTTACTTGTAATGACTATATACTTAAATTTACTATGAAAAGAAACAAATATGCCACTGTACAGAGACAAGACTATCCTAACTACATGTTGCTTACCTCTTTATTTTTATATAATGAATTGATGATAAGTTTCATCATCCTGTTAACTTCAGCTTGGAAGGCAAACTTTTCAGATTTCTCTCTAAGTTCTCTTATTTGTGATGCATTTAATCCATCCAACTGTATAGCTTCTTCCTCTCTAAGAAAATCAGATAAACAAATACTTAGTTGCCTTCAAAACATATAGCCGGTGATGAGAACACAAATGGCCTCTTAAGATTTTCTTGCAGGTTAAAAGGGAAAAATATAAATTAAGGACTTCAAAAAATTTTCACCGAGTCCTAAAAGGCCAAAATTTAAAACATTGCTCAAATGACAGAAATTCTGTTTTTTAAATTGCTAAGAATATATAAGGAATCTAAATGAAGGTCGTTTCTAAGGTCTTAGAAAATTTATTAACTAATATTCTGAAATAGGTATCAACATAGTTTTCAAAGGAATTCACTCCATTTTTGTTTTTATTTTTCTAGTTCTGGGGATGCAACCCAGGGCCTAGACTGTGCTAGACAAGAACTGTACTGCTGAGCTACATCTCTAGCCCCTCATTCAACTTTTTGGATCAGTTATTACTAAAGGCAAATTAAGAGTCAGGAGATGCTTATGTGTGCAAATAATTCCATATCTCTAACATTTTCAGGTATTTGAACTCAGAATGTTATACTTAATCTGGATCTTTGAAGAAACCAAAGCACCTACTGGATCCCACAACCTTCTTGGGGCTTATCTATATAGTTGCAAATGAACACAGACCTCTGTACTACTTCATCATCTGTCCTTGAGCCTTCTCTGCTTTTGCCCAGGTCCTCTTCCACTGTACCATCCACATCGACTTCATCGTCGGCTCTAACTGACCCTGAAGAAAGATTGAAAATTGGAAAACTCTTCAACATTGTTGCTTCCTTAGCTTCGCAGAATATGCTCAAACAGGGCAAGGGTAGGTGTTGCAAAATCCAGTGGGTAAATGTGGGAGGTGGGGATGGAAGAAAGGATCTACTTAAGTCAGCACATTTCTTATTTAAGTTGAGATGCCGAGGTCCCCCAGTAGAATCTGAAATACGGAGGCGGCCATCTCTTCCAAACAGCGTCCTCCCGATTCTTTATAAATAACGTTTGGCAGAGTGATACCAGGCCCCATCTACACCCACACGTGTTGCGCACAGCCGAGACAAGGCCTCCAACTGACCAAACCAAAACTTGGGCCTTTCTTTTCATGGGTCAGAATACAAACTGAATTTGTGCAACTTCTGGCTCGGGAAACTGAAATTGGGCCCAGGGTGCTGAGAAGGGGAAGAACCAAGCTGGAGCAAAACTGAATTAAACACCCAGACATTGCCATTCCGCTGGCGACAGGCCCCACGCTCCGGAGACCGGCCTCTAAGAACCGAAACGCGCTCGCGAGGAGTCCGCAAGGCTGGGGGAAGAGGTCCTCCAGAGCGGACAGGCAAAGGTTGCAGCGGCCGACAAAAGTCCTCCGGGAGGGGCATCCGCAACACTCCCCGGGGAACGAGAGCCGAGAGAGAGGCCCCACCCCGGTAGCTGAGACCTCGGATCTGCAGGGGATTTAAATCAACCTGTTCGGTTTCTTTTCTTTCCAGAGGAAGAAGAAAGTAAAGGTAATCCCCTGAGCCTCTTTCGAGGAAAGGCAATGGCCCGTGTGGCCCGCCGCAGGCCCTAATATCCCCATTCCTGGTCCAACGCCCCCAGAACCTTCGAGAAGCGGCCGAGCTGGAGGAGGGGGGGGTGTCCTGTCCCCTCAGATCACTCACCGAAGGTCAGGAGGATGCAGCAGAGGCCCAGCACCCACAGGGCCTTCATGGCGCGTGGCCGGTGAGTCTCAAGTCTCTTTTGACCGCAGGAGCCGCCTCCGCCCCCCCACCCCGGAGCTCAGATCCTCACACCTCTAGCCGCGCGGTCCGCCCACTACACCCTAAGCAGGTCGGGCCGCTTTTCACCCCGGCTTCTCGCGGGCGGGGGACGGGAAACACGAATCTACCAATCGCGCCGCACCACGCACCCTCTGTACCCAATCGGTACGCGTGGTGGGGACCAGAGTCCACCAATCGGAGCTGTCCAGGTGCGGTGTCCGATGTCCGAAGCGTGGCTCCTTCCGATTGGTCTCCCGTAGCAGCTTTTGTCCAATCAAATGGCTCCGCGGGCCCTCACACGCGGGACCACCCCTTTGCCTGGGAAGACTTGGCCTCTGAGGGAAGCCGTCCAATGAACGTAGCTCGCAACGCGTCCATCCTCTAAGAGGGGTCGCGGTGGAACCACTTCCGGATCCTAGAGAGCGTTTATTCCGTGACCAGGGGGAACGGTAGCCATGGCAACGCGCTTTTTGCATTTCTCCCGTCTGGAGTCACGGAGCGAGCCCTTTCAGCCCGACGTTCGCAGCCAGCTTTGTATCTGGCAGTGCTTCTCGGAAAAGAAAAACACGTGAGGCACTGAAAATCCTCCGGAACGCTTTTGGATTGGGGTGGTGAGAAACCACAGCTCCCGGCGTGCAACATACTAGGCCTACGCTGTTTTGAATGCTGGGAATCGTAGTCTTTGGCCTCTGGGCCAACTGCGTAGTTCGGCCCTTTTACATTCTCCCGGCGTCTCTTTGCGGGAACTCTGTCCTCCGTGTTTTGGGATTTATAAATCGTTCTGACTGCAGCATACATCTGTGATTACTCCAAGGCTCCAGCGTACACAGCTTTCAGAAGGCCGCCGCGCCTTGGCCAAGGCCACCCTATGTTCTGGGGGTGGGCCCCAGTCTGGGTTCAGCCTTTGACTCGGGAACACGCGTTTCCTAATCTGTCATTTAGCGCGTTATGTAGGCAGCTGGAGCCTTCACTCCTCTGCGCACTCAGTGACCGGAATCCCCAAGACCTTGCTTTGCAGAAGTGGGTGATGGGATCCCCCTCCTCCGAGGGAAGTCTCTAGCAACTTTGATGCCTTTGACTCCCCCACAATGTGCAAAGGGGGCCAGCCACCTGCCGGTCCCAAAGCCCCTGCTGTAAGTCAGGTGGAGAGCGTGGTGGTAAAGTCCGTTCTAACACAGAAAAGGAAAGGACACACCTGCAGATATTTGAAAGCAAAACCTGCGGTGCTGCAAATGAGAACAGAATTGTCGCTTTGTAACTTCATAGAAATACCCTGTCCGCCTTCTGGAAGGCACGTAAAACACCAGGTGTCTTTCCTGTAACGGAAGTCCCTCACACCAAGCTAGTGCCTGTGGAAATATTTTCTGTCTCTTTAACGGTGTTTTTACCCACTCCCCACCGTCATCAGCGCCTCTTCTCCAAAATACACGCCCCTATTGCTTCCTCCAGCAACGCGGAACTTAGGAATTTTGTTTTCAGATAACCATCTGAATTCCTGACCACAAACTTTTAGGTGACAAACTTTTAGGTCTTTTTATAACTTTCCATATTTAGGCTTGCCAATCTTGATTTTTGTGGTTGATGGTTTTCATATTGTGGTGATGCCTTATTTACATCTGCCCAATTTACCTCCATTTGTTGTTAGTAAGCAGAGGGTAACTTGCAAAGCACGTCTCTGCTTCTGTGCTTACATTTTTGTTGTTGAGAGGATATTAGGGTGATGATTACATCAAGAAATCTGAATTAGCTTTTGTATATTTTAACCCTTTTTTGCTTGTTTTTAGAAAAAGATGAGTCCCATCACTTTTCTGCATTTGATAGCTCAACTTCTTCATCTTTTTCTTATTTATGAACAAATAAGCCATCAGTTCTGAAACTGTGAATGCCATCTTAACTGGTCACTGGTGGGTAGTTTGTGCTGCACCTGGAGGAACTGAGACTGAGAAGTGCCTTCTAAAATAGAGCCACTACTTGTGGGAAGAAGTTTTTGCAGATGATGATGAGAATTCCCGAGGTAGGCAGAGCACAAAACATTAGTCTGACTCAGCTGTGCTCTTTTAAGACAAGATCTCTGACAGATCTTGTCTTAAAGAAGTGGACAGTTTCCTGGATTCCTAGTCTTGCTGTCCCTGGCAACCCCCTTCTCTTCACCTCTTTTGACTTTTAAAGTGTCACTGATCCCTAATTCCTATTTTGGCCTATCTCCCCTAGAACTGCACTCCCAGATAGTTTGTAACCTTTCAATCTGATTCTCTTGCTTCCCAATTTTAGTTTTTCCCTTTGACACTGTATTTCCATGGATGCTGCTACTGGAAACGACTACTTTGTTGTTATGCTGCTTTTGAATGCCACTAGATAGCATCCTGCCTTGCAGTTAACTTGGGAGGAAAAACCAGATAGGCAAAGGAACGCAGTTAGGGGCAATGAATGGCTGTCCTGGTAGGCAGGTGTAGTTCAGCAGTGTAAAGTCAGGGAGAATACAGGAGACCAAGGCAGGAAAGCAGGTGGCATCAAGGAGCATTGAAGAATGGGGTGGGTTGGTTGATTGGTTTCTTCCTTTGTTCTTTCACTTACTAATTCAGCAAATGTCGAGGACCTGGTATTTGCCAGGTATTATGCTAGGGGCTGGAAATACATAGATGAGCGGTATATATATGATCTCTGTACTGAACTTCAGCTAATATTAACAATGGAGTTGCATCGTAAATGCAAATATCTTGTTTAAACTCAAGTACAAAAGAATGCCAGGCAAAGTAGTATCAGCAAACTTTTGGGGCTGATAAAAATACCCTTAATCTTGATATTGGTGGTGGTTAAGACTATTGAAGTATATACTTTATTTATTTATTTATTTATTTAAAGACAGAGAGAGAATTTTTTTTTAATATTTATTTTTTAGTTTTCGGTGGACACAACATCTTTGTTTTGTATGTGGTGCTGAGGATCGAACCCAGGCCTCATGCATGCCAGGCAAGCGCGCTTCCACTTGAGCCACATCCCCAGCCCTCGAAGTATATACTTTAAAAGGATGATTTTTTAAAATAAAAAATATGAACAAATGAGTATAACAAAAGAGAGAATCCAAAAATAAGGGTTTTAATTTAATAAGTGACAAAATGAGATTTTAGGGGACTAAAGATAGTTTACTTCATGAATGATGCTAGCCTTGACTGGTTACCCATCTTAAATATTTATTGAGATGGATATTTTCAATAAAAATATTTTTAAGTGTACAGTTCGATAGTTTCTCATTTAAAGAATACAACAGCAACTGTCATTTTAGACAACAAAAACACTTAAAAACCATTTTAGTAAGAATCATGAACCAGACAGGGATGTCCATTATTATCAGTATTGTCTCGTACTCTTTAGAAGGGTCTTATAGTAAGAAAATAAGTTGATATAAATTTTAGAAAAGTTGAAGTTCTTCATTTTGAAAGTCATTCTATCTGGTGACAGAACTGTATATCCCGGAAACTCAAGAGACTCTAGCTTTTTAAAAATGTTGAGAATGAATATGAGAAACTGGTATATTACTGACTTGAAGATAAATCTATTAAAATCAGTAGTCTTGGGGCTGGGCTTATAGCTCAGTTGGTAAAGTGCTTGCCTCGTATGCATAAGGCCTTGGGTTCAATCCCCATCACCACACACACATACACTCACACACACACACACATAAACACACAAATCAGTAGTCTTGTTCTAATTTGCAAATAACACAGAAATGGAAATTTTAAAATTTTTCATATAAGAGGCAAAACATAAAATATATAGGGATAATAAAGACTTAGTTTGAATATGAAGAAAACAATAGAATATCAAAGAATATAAAATAAAGGAACTTGGGTCAAGTTCCATAACCTATGTATTATCTATTGCTGTGTAGCAGATTATCTCGAAGCTTGCAGCTTAGAACCATACACATTAATTGTCTCACACGGTGTCTGTATATCAGGAATCTAGGAATACTTAGCTGGTACTTCTGGCTCAGTTTCTCAGGAGCTTGCAGTCAAGATGTTGGCCAAGGCATAAGTCACATCTAGAGGCTTGAGAAGGGCTGGATCCAAGACCCAGAACCCTGCAGGAGCTCTGATGACTCGTAACCAAGCTCAGAAATCACAGGTGGTCATTTTTGCAATAAGTCTACTCAGGGAGAGGGAGGGTTATGCAAGGGTGTGAATACTGGCAGTCAGAGATCACTGGGGTTGATTTGGAGGCCAGCTGCTACCACACCCTAATTGAAGAGAAAGCTGGAAAAGGTTGGACATGGCCCTGGGTTCAGCTTCCCTCAAGAGAGATGGGCTCAGAATCATAAGTTGGGAATTTCTCCAAATATAGGAAGAAGGGGAAGAGACTTTAGATACAGTCCAGTCAAAAAAAAAAAAAAAAAAAAGATCAATGTCTAACCACATTTGAATATACAAACAAATGAATACAACAAAAAAGAACCAAAAATAAGTTGTTTCAATTTAGTATGTGACAAGAGTGAGACTTCAATTCAGGGGAAAGATAGTTTATTTCATAAGTGATGCTAGCCTTGACTGGTTATCCATCTCTAATATTTAATATTTTCTTTGCAATTCTAAAATTTAAATTAACAATGATAACTTGATTCAGAAATATGTTGGCAGGATATTTCTTAATGAGAAGTTCAGCCTGGCAGTGTTAGAAGAGGAATTTAAAAAGAAAAAGTTTACAAGATACTTATTATTTAAGGCCTGCTATTACTGCTGCAAAAATTAATGTTGGAGTCAGACCCCAAGACAGGATTTAAGTAACTGCAAAATCCACACTCAGCCTCTGAAAGTGTACCTCACAACATGGAGGTGCCACAGTGATGTCACTTGCTACCATCAGGTAGATGAGAGCATAAATAGCATTGACTCCCCTAGTGCAGAAGTAGAATCCTTTGGGATGGGGTTGTGGCTCAGCAGTAGATTACTTGCCTAGCATGTATGAGACCCTGGGTTCAATCTTCAGCACTACATAAAAATAAATAAGTAAAATAAAATAAAGATATTGTGTCTGACTAAAACTAAAAAATAAATACTTTTTTTTTTTTTTTTAAAGAAGTAGGGTTGGGGATGTGGCTCAAGTGGTAGTGCACTCGCCTAGCATGGGTGGGACCCAGGTTCGATCCTCAGCACCATATAAAAATAAAAGGCATTGTGTTGTGTCCATCTACATTTTAAAAAATAAATATTAAAAAAAGATATTGTGTCCACCTAAAACTAAAAAATATATATTTTAAAAAAAAAGTAGAATCCTTTCAATTCTGTGTCAATCTTTCTTAGTATACCAAGAGAAAGTCAGTTTGGTACAAGTTTGTCTTCAATATCTCTCCAAAAGTTAATTTTCCTTTTCAATAAAAAGAGAACTAGAATTTAATCACATTGGTTTTAATGCATATGATCAATGCTATATGATAAGGATTTTCCCTTTAGTAACAAAAAATTTCTAGCGACATTTTTTTGGTTTAAATTATTATAAAAAAATATAAAAAGTCATGCCCTACTTTTTGTTTCTTCTGTCTACTCAAAAACAATTGTTTTCTTCATTTAGGTCTTTTTGCTTTTAATGTTTTTCAGTTAATCACTCTCCCTGCCCTGCAAAAATTGGAAAGACTATCAGCAGTTGTGAAGCAGGATATAGAGATAATAATTTTTTAATTTTAGATTTTAATTATGTAGTAATTGATTACAGAAGCAATTTTGCCATAATCTCACATTTTAAAATAGCTGCTATATTTGTTATTCTGAACTTTTCTTTCTTGTGTGCATTCACTTTAATAATAGGAGTAAATATTGTTTCTTCCTAGGCAGTGTCTTAAACATTGTGTATTTAGTAGCTTAACTTCTACCACTCTGATATAATGTTATCTCTATTTTACAGATAGGAGACTGAAGCACAGTGAATTTAAGAAATTTACTGTAAGGACTTGAATCCAAAGAATTGGGTCTTCTGAGCTTGGACCTTTGGCCTTTATACTGTGCTGTTTCCCATCTTTAGTAATATTATATTAACACTGTTATTGTTATGGTCCATTATTATTCCTTTCCATAAAATACTTATTTATAAGCATTTTACCTTTGCTGTGTGGTCTCAGATTTTTAAAGAACCAAGTTTACTTTGGCAGAATTTAAGTGTTCAAGTCATAAGCTTTGATGAATGTCTATCCCTGTGTTACCACCACTATAATTAAGATATGGAACATTTCCATTGGCCCAAAGGGATCACCTGTGCCTCTTCCTATTTATTTCCTCCCCAAATCTGCAACAGGTGACAAATGAGTGACTTTCTGTCACCATTCTAATTTGTTTTACTTCCTCTTTGACCTATGAGTTATCATTATGCTATGTCACTTGTCTTTGCCTTGTCCCAGAGTCTTTTTTTATGAATAATGATATAATTATAATATTTAGGGGCTCGGGATGTGGCTCAAGTGGTAGCGTGCTCGCCTGGCATGCGTGAGGCACTGGGTTCGATCCTCAGCACCACATAAAAATAAAATGAAGATATTGTGTCCGTCTAAAAACTAAAAAATAAAAATATTTTAAAAAATAATATTTATAATAGAGTCCCATCAGGCTACTTTGTTGGTGTATTTGAATAGTATATCCGTTTCTATCCCCCCTTCTTCTTCTTTTTTTTTTTTTTTGATGAGGTCTCACTGTGTTGCTGAGCCTGGCCTAGAACACCCACCTAGGATCAAGTGATCCTCCTGCCTCAGCCTCTCAAGGAGCTGGGACTACAGCTGTGCACCCCCACTGCACGTGGCTCCAGCCTTGTCCATTGATTTTATCTATCTCTTCACATTTAGAGGGTATTTCTTCTAAGCAACAGATATTAGAGTCTTTGCTTTTTTTTTTAATCTTATCTGTCTTATCTGACAATCTCTTTAAGTTGTACTTATTTATGTTTGATTTAATTAATTATTTTATTGCATTTAAGTCTGCCATCTTGTTATTTGTTTCCTGAAATTTGTCCCAGCAGTTTTTTTTTTTTTTGAAG